TGGAGTAATGATGCTGAAAATACAGCTGCGCATCACAGAAATACATTACAGTTTAACAGAGATTCACATAGATAACAGATATTTTAAATAGTAAAAATATTTCACATTTAGTTAAAATTGACTAAAATAGCTAAAACTAAGTAAACTAAAACGTAATAAAAATATAATAAAATAATAATCTAAAATAAAAACTATATAGACATAAAAAAAACTAATAAAAATTACAAAACTAAACTAATTATAATTATAACGTCATGTATTTTATAATTATATTTTTTATAATTATAAAATACATTTTTAAATGACCAAAATTACAAGAATTACAAACTTTAATAACATTACTAGTACATTTTTGAAAAGCATTTAGCATTTTATGAGGTTTATTGGCATGACAAGGTGCAGTGCATTCCTGAAGCACAAGAACAACGAATGAAAATCATACATAAATAATAAAATAATAATAAATATAAAATAATGTCATAGAAAAATGAATAAAAAATGACAAAACCACAAAAAAATGAAATTACTAAAAAAGTTTCAAATGTACAAAAGAAAAACTGTAATCTTCACAATGTGGAATGTGTTTCTTTGTGTCAGATATATATTTCATCACGGTTCATCTAACCATGATGTACCACTGAGCTGCATCGTCAGGAGGAGATCCAGCTGCGGGAGCGTGTGCAGCTGCAGTGCAAACAGGCCGAGAGGACGGTGGAGGATCTGCGCATGGAGCTGCAGACGCTGGGACAGTCCAGAGACGAGCTCTCCAAACAGCTCAAGCTGGCTCAGGTACGGCGCTGACGTCACACACACCTCCACAGACACACACACGAGCACCGCTGACAGAAGCTCACGCATCTGTGTGTGTTTCAGGAGAAGGTCATCGATCTGGAGGGAGATCTGGAGGAGCTGCAGGAGAACGAGCAGCGATGGGCGTCCAAACACAAGAGAGCTGTGGATCAGGTCAGAAACCACCAAAAACCGCTCTAGACCGCTGGAACACGGTTCATGTTGAGTCTGAGGCTGACAGCAGGATCTGCGATAAAAAAAAAAACCTGGACAAAATTGCTGAATCCAGTCAGGAAAATGTAAAAGTTTACAGTACAATGTGTTGAAATAAAAGCTCAGTTTAACTATTATTAATATTACTTCTCAATGTAATAATTATAATAATAATACATTATTTTTTAATTATCACATAATTTTTCTTCCATGTTTTCATTTCAACAGTAAACCTCTATCGTTCCAAAAATAAAAAAAGTAAATTTTTTCATTTGATTACATTTTAAAAGATTGTTTTATACCATTACTATTACTATTATTTCATACTACCATTTTTTATAAATATTTATTAATTCACGAATCCAGAAAAATAGACAACACCAAAACTTACAAAAAAAAAGACAATTTTTGTATTAATATTCTTGTTTACTATTATTGTAAATATTTAAATAAATTATTACATTAAGTTTTATTAATTTATTAAATTTTTGTAAAATAAATGAAAAATAAAATGATTTTAAAGAAAAATAAAATGATTTTATAAGGCCCAAAAAATTATATTTTTGTTCAACTTTTAATAAATGGTTGTTAAATTGTGTAAGTTTCAATTCATTAGATTTTTTTTTCAATCGATTATTAAAAAGTTAATTTAACCATCAAAACATAATCAAAAAAAACAATTTCAAACGAAAAAAAACAAAAACGAATTTGGGGAAAAATCTATTTTTTTTCACTGAGATGCTAGTTTTTATTAATAAATGGAATTTTAGTTTTATATTTTCTGTTTTCATTTTAATTTTAGTTAAAGTTTTAGTCATATTATTTTGTGTTTTTGTTATTTTTATTACTTTATTGTTTCAGTTTTAGTTATTTCAGTACATCAAGTTAAACTAAATGAAAATTTAAATGAAAAATTTTTTTTATTCAGTTAACATGGATTTTATTTCACATAATGCAAAAGTTTGTTGTCTGGTTTTAGTTGTAGTTCATGTGTTTCTCTGTCTCAGTCGGAGCAGCTGCAGATGAAGCTCATCCAGGAGAAAGATCTCAACGATCAGCTGGAGTGTGAGAAGGCCATCCTGGAGAGACAGGTGTGTGTGTGTGTGTGAGAGAGAGAGAGAGAGAGAGACAGAGAGAGAGAGAGAGAGTGTGTGTGCGAGTGTGTGTGTTTGAGTGAGTGCGAGTGTGTTTGAGTGAGTGAGTGCGAGTGTGTTTGAGTGAGTGAGTGCGAGTGTGTTTGAGTGAGTGAGTGCGAGTGTGTTTGAGTGAGTGAGTGCGAGTGTGTTTGAGTGAGTGAGTGCGAGTGTGTTTGAGTGAGTGAGTGCGAGTGTGTTTGAGTGAGTGAGTGCGAGTGTGTTTGAGTGAGTGAGTGCGAGTGTGTTTGAGCGAGTGCGAGTGTGTGTGTTTGAGTGAGAGTGAGTGCAAGTGTGAGTGTTTGAGTGAGTGTGAGTGCGAGTGTGAGAGTGTGTGTTTGAGTGTGTGTTTGAGAGAGTTTGAGTGTGTGTGTTTGAGTGTGTGTGTTTGAGAGTTTGAGTGAGTGAGTGAGAGTTTGAGTGAGTGAGGGAGTGATTGTGTGTGTGTGCGTGTGTTTGAGTGAGTGCGAGTGCGTGTGAGTGAGTGCGAGTGTGTGTGTTTGAGTGAGTGCGTGTGTGTGTTTGAGTGAGTGCGAGTGTGTGTTTGAGTGAGTGCGAGTGTGTGTTTGAGTGAGTGCGTGTGTGTGTGTTTGAGTGAGTGCGAATGTGTGTTTGAGTGAGTGTGTGTTTGAGTGAGTGCGAGTGTGTTTGAGTGAGTGTGTGTGTGTGTTTGAGTGCGAGTGTGTGTGTTTGAGTGAGTGTGAGTGCGAGTGTGTGTTTGAGTGAGTGTGTGTGTTTTAATGAGTGTGAGTGTTTGAGTGAGTGTGAGTGTGTGTTTGAGTGAGTGTGAGTGCAACTGTGTGTTTGAGTGAGTGCGAGTTTGTGTAAGTGAGTGCAAATGTGTGTGTGTGAGTGCAAGTGTGTGTGTGTTTGTGTGAGTGTGCGAGAGCGCGTGTGTGTTTGAGTGAGTGAGTGTGCGAGTGTTTGAGTGAGTGTGCAAGTGTGAGTGTGTTTGTGAGTGCGAGTGTGTGCGCGTGTGTGTGTGTGTGTGTGTGTGTTTGAGTGAGTGCGAGTGTGTGTTTGAGAGAGTGTGAGTGCAAGTGTGATTGTGTGTGTGTTTGAGTGAGTGTGCGAGTGAGTGTTAGTGTGTTTGTTTGAGTGAGTGTGAGAGTGTGAGTGTGTGTTTGAGTGAGTGAGTGAGTGTGTGTGTGTGAGTGCGTGCGCGTGAGTGTGTGTGTATTTGTGTGTGTTAATGAATATATCTGCTGTAATGATGCTGATGCTGATGCCGGTGGTGTGTTCAGCTGCGGGATCTGCGCACTGAGATGGAGGAGCTCCAGAATAACAGAGTGGAGGTGGATTCGATCACCAGAGCCGAGATTAAAGCCAAAGAACTGGAGAACGCACTAAGAGCAGAGGAGAGGTCAGACACACACACACACATCATCATCATCTTACCTTACTAGCACTAAACTTAGGGCTTTTAGCTGTGCATATTTATTATTAAACTGCCTATTTGCATACTACTTGCATATAATTGCAGTGCGCATATTATTAAAAATGACAAAAGTGACAATGTGGTGCTCCTGCTCCTCAGGAATAAAGTGGTGATGAGCAACACCATCAGCAAACTGGAGAAGAAGATCCACGAGCTGTCGGAGCAGATGGAGGAGGAGCACAAGATCTCCACCGAACAGAGAGAGCTGGTGCGACAAACACACATACACATCCACACCAGCAGAGGGAGAGACACACACACACACACACACACACAGGTGCACATCCACACCAGCAGAGGGAGAGACACACACAGTCACACAGGCACACATCCACACCAGCAGAGGGAGAGACACACACAGTCACACACGCACACACACACACACACACACACACACACACACACACAGGTACACATCCACACCAGTAGAGGGAGACGCACACAAATCATATCATACCACACATCATACTCACAGAGAGTGAAAAGCTGAACAATAATTAGGAACCTCATTTACTCTCATTCAGTTAGTGCACATAGAAACAGCTCATTCTGAAATATAGCTCATTTAAAGCTGGAAATTAATTTAAATTAATATTTTCAATCCCATATTTCAGACTTTTATACTCACATAAATTTTTCTATATTTTTTAGCAGTGTTTACCGAGGCAAGTGCTGTTCTCATAGTTAGCATTGATCATTTGAACAAACTCCCAGAACTTAGTTTTGAACTTCAGTGTGAAGCTATGGAAGCTTGTTTCCACCTCAGAATAAAACTATTAAAGTTAACTGTGACTTTTTAGCTCATAATTCTGACTTTTTTGAGGTAGTAATATATATTTGCACAAATGTTTTTTTATAAATATAACAATAAATAAATTAAATTTCTTAAATTATAAATACCTATATATTCATATAAATAGTACACAAACAAACACAAATATTTACAATGATGATAAATGCATTAATAAATAAACATGTATTTATTCAGTGCAATTTATATTAATGTATATTACTGTGGTATGTATACTGACTCACATATTTATTATAATTACAATAAAATACATCTTCATTATTACTTATTTAATACATGTAGTTTATATAAACATAAATTATA